AGAGTAAGCATGGTACTCTGACGATGGAAGCCAGTGTGCTTTTGAAACCTCAGTCAAAATATAATTTGATCCACGAACTCCGCCCCCTCATCCTCATCCTCTTCTTTGGGAGACAATAAAAGGTAACTCTAGACATGAAAGTGACTACATTAAGCCTCCTCACGCCACCGCCGCTCTCGCCAAGTGACAACCGGCGATCATCCTCAGCACAGCCTGACCCCACATAGTGACTCACTGTTTTAGCATACCATTCCGTGTCGGCTTCCGAAACTAAACCCCATTTTTTAGCGATCACCTGCATTTAGAATCCTTATTTATGCATCAGTTAGTCCACAACACCCAGTATTAGCTAATTTTTACAAATCTTTGTTTAGTCGAGGTAATAGAATGAGGTCATCGGCGCAAAACCCTGGCACCGTTTTGGAAGGGTCCTTATCTGGCTTAGATTTTGCGTCTTATTTAAGGCCAATTCTGTACGGTGTATGCAGATACAGTCTGTGGTTATCTTATATTTCAAGTTTTTCTGCTGTTATACGGCCTACTTACTTTATATTATCCACGGTGAATGGAGGATGTTTGTTCCAAAAAATTATGGAATGATATTTTCAAAACCCTGTCAGCACCAGCCCCGCCTGGCCCCATCTAAATAGCCGGGGCCAGGCGGGGCAATCCGGGGACAAGGCTGAACTAGATGCATTCTACACATTTCTCGAAATTTTTTTCAAAAAAATTATCAATAACCATTAGTTTCCAACTTCATTGACAAAACAATGAAAGCGGGGGTTCAACCAGGACAACGGGGGGCGCACGCTGCGAAAATATTTTCCGTAGGTGGGACGTAACGGGTTGAATTTGGCCCTATCTAATTCAGTGGCACGTGGACCGAATGAGACGGGGCCAAATCAACCCGTTAAGCCCCACCTGTGGAAAATATTTTCGCAGCTCGCGGCCCCCGTTTTTCCGTTTGAATCCCCGCTTTCATTGTTTTATCAAAGAAGATGCAAACTAATGGCCGATGGTCGATGGTCCCGTGCCTGTGTCCGGTGCCTGTGGCCGGTGCCTAAAATTGAAGAAGAGCATATAAACAGTTGGGACTAATAGATAACATAACTTCCTAAATTTAAGAAGCTACGTAATTAAATTTCAAAATAAAATTAATTGAATTCACAAAACTTTGAAACAGCCTAATTTCAGTTACAAATTACACTTGGTTTAGATTCATAAAGGGCGTATATATACACCCTTTATGAATCTTAAGTAAGTAATGCATTACTGTGTCGAACACACTACCGTAGATGAATTAGATGATTTACTGTCACATGTTTGCTTCTTGTTTGCAAATCTTTTAAGCCTTTATTGCTGCTCAAAAGAAGGAGTAATACTTATAAAATATTTCCAGTGTCCTATATAGTGTACTCTGACAGCAGTTATAGAGTTACGTATTGTCGCAAAAATTTTGAACGTGGGATGTTAATGGTATTTTTGTGATATGCTGCATGTTACTAAGACCTCTTTTCATATATTTCCAAAAATTGTTTTTGAAAATTTAGCCCTCCACATTTTGCGTATGAGAGTTCCCACGGGTAAAATATTTATTTGTTTAGCCCAATAATTGCAGGCTTACTACGGCTGCCTGCAAAATAAATTTGTGAGCCGTATCTATTCATGTTTCATCAGTACAGGGTAGGGAACGGATCCGTGGAAGCCCCTTCTTCGCGGCCAACGACATATGTGACTTTTCGGGTTAGACCAATACCTCCACCAAAGCAAGGGCACTCCCGTGAACGGTACAGATCACTGTTCAAATAAGGCGTCATATTTCTTCTTGAACCCAGTAGCCATGTCGGCAATAACAACACCTGGGTAGGGGAGATTGTTTCATGCATTCACGGCGCGCCTTGAGAGCCGATAGATGTGCGGTAGGCCATCTGTCCGTTGTATCATCAGTTTCAAGCAACGTCCACGCGTAGACATATCAACGGCCAGTATGAAGTACTGTGCGATTTCCGGGATGTAACCGCAAACGGTCACTTTGTACGTCATGATTTGGTCCCCTGTGGAGCGTCGAAATTCGAGGGTAAATTGGTTTAGTGCTTTAAAGCGCTCCGGATATGTCAGCCTCTTTACTTCGGGCACCATTCTTGACCCCAGCCGTTGCACATTTTCGATGTCGGTCATCTCACCCTTCGTACATGGGAACCAAGCGGATGATCCATACTCCATGATCGGGCGGATGAACGTAACCATAAGCTTACGGAATAACTGCATAGACCAGGACGTGCATGCTCTTTTGAACATCCAAAATAGTGCCAGACCCTTGCATCTCGCCAACGTTGATTGTTTTTGGGTTTTGAGGTCGTCTTGAATGATAACGCCCAAGTCACGAGTACTTCTAACAGCGGCCAGTGTTACGCTGCCCATTGTATAGGGTGGGTGGTCCCGGTTTCTCCCAATTATCAGCAAATGTGATTTGTTCATGTTACCGGGTATCGTGATTTCCAATGACCATCCGTGAATCACCTTAAGATCATTTTGAAAAGATATTGTGTCTTGGGGGCTGCGTATAACACGCCATACCTTGAGGTCGTCCGCAAACAAAAGGCATGAAGGTCCAAAACCTAAAATTGCTGTTGAAAATGTGTACAGTGCATCAGACGTCATTTTTGACGCAGGTTACACTTTAAAATAAACGGTAACTTTTGGATATGTGAAGGCCAACATATTTGGTTCTGCTGTGCTATCTGAAACTAATTTTGGCTGAATAACAGTTCCCTGTTATGCGACGGATTAGCGACAAGTGATATATAAAGGGTTATACAGCATTAGATCGATTCCCAAAGCACAAGGAGATGTGTCTGTCAGAAGCACGAACAGTGAGCGCCCTTTACCATAGTTAATGTGTTCTACATCAACCGAGAGGACAACGGGCCTTTGGTTTGGCGGTAGAAAGTTCGACTCAATGATAAAAAATCGCGAGTTCGAATCTCAGGTGCTGCAAAGCCGAAGTTGGACCTGAGTTGCTGACAGGTAAGTGTCCCTTCAAGTCTGTCTTTTCTTTGTCGGTATTCT